GTTTTGGATTATCTGAGTTTTGGGGGCCTGATTTTTTTTTTAATTCTTTATATGTTCTAGGTAGAAGTCCTTTGTCTGAGGCACAGTTGGCTAAAGTTTTTTACCAATTCACATGAGTTTTCTTTTTTCTCTGCCAGATTTCTTTTACTCTCTGATTTCTTTTGAATGCAAAAACTTCAATAAGATGAGATTCCAGTTGTTGATTCTATGAAGTATTTTCCGTTTGGTTTGGTTTTTATTCATGAGCTCTCTGCCTACCCCTGCCTCTTCAAGATTTCTGTCAACTTTCTTTCCAGTAGCTTTAGTGTTTGTTTTCAGTTTATTTAAAACTGTCAGTTGCTACAGTATAACTTAAATTATAAGTTATAATGGTTTAGGATGATGATTACAATTAGTGGAACACTAAAAACACGGTTTCAGGGTAGAAATAACGTTGTTCAAGTATTTATTCCCTAGTTTGAAAGCTCTTCTTAGAAGAATTATATCAAGAGAATGGACCATGATCCACCAAAAATACCAAATGATTGGATGCATTAGAGGGTCAAAATTTGGAGCATCTGTGAACTAGGCTAGTTTATAAAATGTCAATAAGAGCTGCATAGTGAGACCCTGTACAAAATAAATAAATAAAAGATTAAAATTTTTTAAAATGTCAACAAGTATATAAATAACAATGAACCCTGCTGTGCACATACTTTTGAATTGGGTATTTTATCAATTTCTTTTCTTCAGCAAAGGAATCTCATATCTGGCTTTTTTTCTGCTAGATCTCCCCTTTCTTAGAGTTGTCTTTCTATGAATTTCACATATCTTTTGTATATGCAAAACTTTGAGTTCATCAATATATTCAAATTGATAAAGGAAATGAACTTCACTTATCCTTTTCTGAGTTAAAGACACCTGTTTGATGGACTAATCATGACCCACTAAGTCTTTTGGGCAGAAGGAGGACATGGAATAAGGTTTATTAATAAATGTCACAATTAAGATTGTTTTATATCTATCCCAAATGCTGACAGAAAATCATTCAGACCATTAAAAGTTGAACATAAGTAGGAATAAAGCTGTATCTAATAGGAAAGGGACATAGTTATTTTACTTTGTACATCAGAGTCTAGCAGAGAATCCAGAATCTCAATTAAGTAAACATTCAAATAATTATTAATAAATAGATTTTCATTCACCAAAGTTAGTGCTTATGGTCAGGTATAATAATTACAGACATGAGGAAATAAAGAGATTTGTGTAAAGTGATACCATTTACAAAATTCTAAGTCATGTACCTATTATACTAATACAAACAGAGGTTGAAGGATTTTATTTTAAATGACATTTTATTATTAAAACAATAAGAACTATTCATATTTATTATTTATCTATTTTGTCACTATTGTATGGAAATAATAAAAATGTCTGTTTGGGTTTTTTTTTTGTTTGTTTTTTTTGTTTTGGTTTGGTTTGGTTTTTTTGTGGAACCAGGGACTGAACTCAGGCCTTGCACTTGACAGGGAAGCGCTTATTCTACTGAGCCATCTCCCCAGCCCCTAAAATGTTTACTGTTTATTAGAATAAAGTGGACAGATAGTTTGATCAGTTTTAAATTTTTAAAGAAAATTGTGTGCTGAAAATGCATATCTTTGTCAAAGATATATGAACCAGAAGTTTTTCACTAAAATTGTATTTCTTCTTTTAATTTAATTTAATTTTATTTTGAAAAGTAACAACAAAAACAAAAGCAAAAACAGAGTGACATAGAATAACACATATGGTACAGATTTTCAAAACAAGAATAGGAAATTAATAATGATTGTTATATTACGTATTTTTATCATCAAATCTGTTGCTCAGATTAAAAGATACCAGTATACCAGATTGGACAAATAATTGAACATTAATGCTTGCTTTCAATAAATCTTAATTTTCTTATCCTTTTTACTTTTTAAAAAATTTATTTTAAAGAGAGTATAATCATAATTGATAAGATTTAAGAAATGACACACATTTAGAAGAACAAGATGAGAGGTGTTCAACTGTAGTTTTTGTATTGCACATTGCTGTCTTCGATGTAGTTACTCAGATTACAGATATTAGCATATAGAGTTAGCCAGTAAAATTATATTTTTAAAAATGCTCGTGCTATATTTTAATCTACTTGTTAAAACTCCCTGTACACTATATTCTAGATTGTTAATAGGAGTATTCTGAATGGCAGATATAGCAGATTTTACTGTAGAGCTTTTCGGCTTACTCGTTTCGGCCTACACGTGAGCCACTGGACTAGTACATAGTTATTTTCACAAAATGCATAATCATGGCTGCATATTCTTTCCATGACTAACTGTACCTTGCCACATGCTTCTTACATTTTGCTGAGTCACTTATTTCCCAGGACTCTGCTCCTACTAACTCCTAATTCCCTCTGGCCCTTTTACATACTTTGGCTTTTGCCTGAATTCTAGGGAAAAATATTTCTTTGCCACTAATAAAAGTTCATGCACATAAAATAGGTTTTTAAATTATTCTTAAGTTTATCTGCTAAAATAAATCTTAATCTATCTCTTTCTAAGGAAATAGACATTTTGAGAAATTTATCCTAAAAAGTCATTAAGCCTTTATACTAAGGAAAATAAAGCAGCCTCATCATATCATGTAAATTACAGTACTCTACATCACTGTAGAATGCTTTTTAAAAAATGAAGTCAGTTTCCAAAGTTTTGATCAGTCTTCTCACTACAAGAAGAATCATTAATAACCTGATAGATACTTGGGGACTGTCTCTGATTCAGATGCATGATAGATTTGCATTTTCCTAATAATCTGAACATTATAGATAGAACTCACTGCCTGGCTCCAAGACCAAAATATATTAGTGACAGATTTCACCTCTTGAACACTAATGAAAATATATGGCTATATGCACAGTCCCATTAATGTTTCATTGATTTAAAAGTATTAAATGGTGTACCATACTGGAGCCAGGGAGATGGCTCAGTGGAATAAGTGCTTCCCTGGCAAGCACAAGGGCCTGAGTTCAATCCCTGGTTCCGCCAAAAAAAAAAAAAAAAAAAAAAAAAAAAAAAGTGTACCATACTGGTAATTGTGCAAAGGCTTGAAAGATGTAAAGAAAAAAAAACCAGTCCCTATTCCCCTAAAGAACTCAGATGGGGAAGGCTGACAGGAAATGCACATTTGAAATCAAGTAAAGTGCTTGATGAAATTTAGTTGGTAAAATTGGCAACAAGTACTAGAATAGTACAGCGGAAGAGTTGAAATAGTGCTTCAGTCATTTTTAGACTCCTCATCAACCACATTTCATCACTAATTATGCAAAAGGAATTCAAATCTTCTACATGTTTCCATGCACGCATGTTTCAAAGAACCAATCAGATATTTCTGCGTAGAACAATAACTTCCTCAAACTGCAAGTATCTTCTACAATAACTGCAGAACACTGTTGAATGCCTATGCACAGATAAATTAGTCATTCAGTTCATGGACTTATGACCCACCCTACTTGCATGCCCTGGGAGTAGAGGACTGTATGTTCTAATAAGGAAGGGCCCTGGAAGCAGATCCTCATTGCACTGTTGGGAGAGCTTCTTCACTCTGGCCAGCTGGCCTCTGTATTCTCGTTTGAAAATGGTATCTGTTTGGTCCTCTCTAACCTGTACACTCTAATATCAAATCAGAAAGGAGTGGTCAGGTCAGTGTGATATTCATGATAGCTTAATAACTATTCAAATTTCTCAGCACCTCTGAGATTTGTCAAAGCTTAACTTTACTGAAGGGAGTAAAAATTATTGTGAGAACGTAGGTAATAAGACAAAATCAAAAGTTGGCCAAATTTACTTCATTTAAGACGAGTTTCTGTAGCCGTGGCTTAGCAGGCTCTGTGAGAATGTGAGCACTAATGTTGGCAAGCTGCTCTCACCGTCTGAGACCTCCGCGGTCCCATCTTGAGACGAGACAGTGTACAGCGCCACACAGTAGGGTGACTGTTAACATTATCAATCCTGAGTATAGGAAAGGCCAGAAGGGAAAGCCAGAAAAATTTCAGAAAAGTCAAAGCTTAGCATCAAGCTTGTATATACAGTAGCTCAGTCCTATAGGCGTCCTTACTATGTGTAGAGTTCTGGGTTCAGTAATTCCCAGCATTTACTGGGGGTGTGTGTGTGGGGGGGGGTCAATAGCCTGAAAATTGGAATATAGTTTTCAATTTGTGTGTGTGTGTGTGCGCGCGCGCGCGCGCGCGCGCACGTGGACAGAACCCACGCATTCCCACAGGTCTCTTTTTCAACGTGAGAACCATCCTTTCTGGAACCACAGCGCAGCAGATGTCACCCTGGAATTCTCCCAGAGGCACAAGGCCAGATTCCAGGCTGCTGTTCCTCAGCTACTACCAAGATGTGGACGGGGTGGCGCCTGAGCCAAGTGGCCTTCAGACCTGTGGCCAAGGGCCGATGCTATCTGTGGCCGACACCAGCATTTGCACCTCCCTACACCATGCTCGCGCTAACGCGTCGGGAGACAGGCGGGTCAGGCGGCCGTGCACCTCGGGGTAGGAAAGGCGGTCGCGGCTGCTGGAGAACCGAGCTCGCCACCGCGCTCGTCCGCACTCGCAAGCCTCAGCCCCCGCCGCCCGGGCGGAGCCCAGATCCCACTTTCTACTAAGCGCTGTACGCTCCGCCACTGCACCGGCCCGGACAACGCCATGGCCCAGTGAAAGGGAAGGATCTATTTCCTCTGCTGGCCACCCAGGCTGGACGTCCAGGGAACTGGGTGGAAGCCGCATCCCGTCCCGTGAAACCCTGACCCGCCTGCGCCCCAGGCTAGCGCGGCGCTCCGCAGCTGCGCGACTGAATCACGGGTGAGTCAGCCCTCGTGGGTCCCGGAGTTTCCTACGGGGAGGGGGCCGGGGCGGGGCTTCTCCGACTCCGCCCACCGCGGGGGCGCGGGCCCAGTGACCGCGCCGGGGGGCGAGGGCGGGGCGGCGGGAGGAGGGGCGGGCCGGAGCGGCGCGGGCTGAGCGGCGCCGGCGTGCGCGCAGCCCTTTAAAGCGCCCCGGGCGGGGGCTCGGGCAGATCTCGGGCTCCCCGGACCCCTCCTGCACCCTGGGACCCCAGCAGCCCGAACCCCAGCCTCGGAGTAACGCGGAATCCGAGCGACCTCGCCTCCAGCCCGTGGACATGATGACCCTTGCCTGGCCCCGGCTCCCGCGCCTCGAGACCGCGGTCGCTCGGACGCTCCTGCTCGGCTGGGTGCTGGCGCGGGTGGCCGATGCTGAAGGTAAGTGGCACCTATGCCGGGAAGACCAGGGGCGCCGCCCGGCCGCAAAGGGCGACTGCGGGCTGCTGGCCGCGGTGGTCGCGGATCCTCCAGAGCCCCCGCCCCGCGCTTCACCCGGGTGCGTTTGAATGAACTCGGGCGGTGAGGCGCCCTAGCGGGAGGGGGGAGATAATTTGCTGCCGGAAGCCCACTGAGCTTTCTGCTAGAGGTGTTTGCTAGGTGCACCCGTTGTTACGTAAGTGGATTTTTGGCTCTCTTCAACTTTGAGAAAAGAGCTTTCCAGAGAACTGTGACCTTGAAGGTGATGAGAAGTGGGTCCCCGTCTGCATGGGTCGGCGTGCCACAGACGGCTTGGGTACTGTCTATGGCGGGTGCCTCTCCCTTTAATGAAGAGCGTCCCCGCTCGTGGTGGTCTTTTAGATTTGGGTAGAAGCGGTCCGTTACAAAATGTTGCTTGGATTGAATCAGGCACCACGCTGTGCATGGCCTGTGCATCTTTGGTGTTTGAAGTCAGCAGAGACTCAGACCCAAGAATGGTAAAGGATTTCACCAAAAACATCTAACCGTATGACTGTGTGATGGCCACACTTGTCCACCTTGGTCCCCGTGGAAACTTAAGTCTAAAAAAGGACACATTGACCTTTTCGTTTGTATGCCTTCCTAACCCTCCTCACTCATGTGAGATTTTCCTAACTTGTTGAAAACTAGTCAGCCCGCCTGGGTGAGCTGAGCCTGAATCCTGCCCATCAGGAGCACAGGGCTTTCCTCAGTAGTAAGGGCAAGCGAGGATTTCAGATCCTTGCTTGTTTCCCTGAATGACAGGGTGGATCTTGCCGGGAAGATATTCTGGATCTAGGAAAAACTTGAAGTGGTTTTTGGGTTTTGTTTTGTTTTTTTTTTTAATTAGAAAACCAGTAGCAAAACCTTTGTGATTGAAAACAAAAATGTGAGTTCAATCCCCGGTTCCACCCCCCCCCCAAAAAAAAAAAGAAAAAGAAAGAAAGAAAACAAAACTGTAAAGTTTATGGTGATGGTGATGGGAAGCTGGTAAGGCATATGCTGTCAGCTGAAGTCAGGGGCTGAGAAGTGCTTATAGTAATAGCTGTTTCTCTGTTGTTCAAAGGCAGTCCAGCTAGAGCGTATAATTTAACTTGGAAATCAACTAATTTCAAGACAATCTTGGAGTGGGAGCCCAAACCCATCAATTATGTCTACACTGTTCAGATAAGGTAAGCTAGATCCCAAAGAGAGAGAAAGAAGAGAGGGAATGGAGGATTTTGAAGTTTCTGGCTTCCTGTGCTGAATACAGATGTCTTTGAGGCTGATTATTGGATGAAATTATTTGTTCAATAACAAAGAAGAGGGCATTTATTTGCTGTCCAGTGTTAAGTTCTATCAAGCCTTCAACATTTCTAGACCTTGAATTGGTAGAACATCGTAATTGGTTTTGGAAATGATGGGGGAAATTTTTAAGTGGAGTATAAGCTGGGGTGAGATGAATCCTCATATGCAGGTACTGATAGCATTCTTTAGGATCCAGGTGACTAATCTCATTTAAAAACAAATGTTTCTTTTCCTTTGCCAAGCTGTCTAGACTGTGAGCTACACTGCCTATGTTAGGCAAGAGGTAGAGAGAGGAATCCCAGTATGTACATTGCCCTTAAGCAATGTTTGATTCATTAATATTTGGATTCTGAATTAAAATTTGATTGTATACATGACCTCAGAGGAAGCCAAATTCTTGACTCACAGAACAGTGCAAAAACAGCAGAGAACAGCTCCATCATCTACACCCTCATCTATCAGCCTGGGAGGGCTTTGTTCATTCAAGCCTTGTCTCTGACAGCTCTCCCCAGGAGCCAGTAATTCAGCACACTTAATGTCCATGTCAAGAATTTGCAACATGCTTTTCTTGATGGTTTGTGCATTATTCTTGACAAGCTTTTGCTTTCTGAAATGTTCTAGGAGGCTTAGTAGAGATCTTAAGAAATAGAGGACAGTGGCTGGAGAAATTATTTTAATACTAATTGAATAGACACACAAAAAATGTATCACTGGCAAAAATTAATGGTGTCTTGCTGTTTTGTTGTTTTAGCTGTACCAAACCTTTTATAGTATTAAGAATGCAACTTGTAAGAATAGGGTGGGCCTTTTAGATGGACATTGTTGTCCAAAATGAACTCTATAACTATTGCCAAACCAACAGAGAAGAGAATTTGTGTGTGTGTATGTATATACATATACACATGAAGTGTTTCCCAAAGTAAATCTTAGGTCTGTATCAAAGAAAATAATTGCTAATTGTAGTATTTATATATGCATATCTAATTATTATATATAATATATCTATAGATAGAATAAAGGAATTTCATAGCCTGAGATCATCATTAAAATATTGCAGTTTTGGTCAAACTTGTGAATTCAGATTATTCAAGTTGAGAATTAGTGATTAATTTCTTTGACATAGGCTTGCAGTTTACCTTTAGAGACACTTTTCTTCTGGAGAGTCTAATCTAAAATTAGATTTTAGGAGGCATGCTTAGCCCTAAAAACATTTAATGTTGTTTCAACAACAAATGAAAATAGACAAGTAGGTCTGGCTTTCCCTGTAAGCCAGATGACCTCCCGCTGCAGAGCTGAAGGGCTTCAGCATCCATCAGCCCCACCTCAGACCACGTTCTGCTCCCGAACTGTCCTCCTACCGTCCTCCAGTGATTTTTAGGCTGAAAGGATCATGGCAGTCATTTTCTAAGTAAAGAAATTTGCCTTGGGAAGTGAGAGATTATAGTGACCTCAGTGGCGGTTAATGTCTATGTGGAGCTGCAACCATGGTCCCCCCTGTACCTCATAGTACCACCTCTTCAGGCGGCTCTCTAAGTCTGACAAAAGCCAGAGCTGGGAGGCAGAAGGAAAATCTTGGCAGCCTGTTCCTTCTGCGGACCTCCTTCCCTTCATTTTCCTAAGCCGCCCCCTTCCCCACCCACTACCCTCACAACTGCAGCCCCTCACAGATTCATTTTCCCCAGTGAAAGTGAGTTTCAGTTATGGCTAGGCAGTGATCTTAGCCCAGGCCTTAGCACTAAAACCATCATCAGTAATACCGATTCCACATAATAATTCTAAAGCTGAATTTACAGAGCTTCTACAAAACCTGCCACTAAGTTAGTGACACCATGTATTCTATTGGAAGTTTTTAATAACTCCAGAGCACTTTCATTATTTCCACATCTGAGGGCTCTGTATTACCTACAGAAATCTTGAAGACTTTTAAAGTGCTAATGCTGTTAATGACATTGAGAGCCCCTAGCTAGAGAACTTCCCCTTTGTCACCCTTCATACAATTTCACTGCGTAGAATGTTAGAGACCCTCTTGGTGAATTTTGCCATTGAGCTCCTGGTCCCTGCTTCTGAGCTGGAAAGAGCCGAATGTAGTGTCTTGCAGAAGTGTGTCCCTACTGCAGAGCCCAGCCACTGAACAACTTATTTGCCATAGTGGTGGAGGAATCAAGTTCCCATTTGCTTTTTGTCATGGAAGAGATGTAATGAAGATGTATGTTGGTCATTATGAACAACCATTGCTTCTCTATGTTTATCACAGAAAAATTTGAAACATAAGAAACCAAAATATTCCAGAGTTCTTAGTTGGTGAATTTGAGAATAAAGAATGTGCTTACCTCGATCCTTTCAGGCTCATTATTTAATTCACAGTTTTAAAGAATATGCATTTATGGCTATTGTGCATGAATTTAGACCACTGGCTTCATAAGGAGACCCTCACTTTATGCTACATTAATTCATCCCATAAAGGCAAACATACATCTCACATGTAGCAAAGCCCTACAGCTCTGCTGCTTGGCAAAGAGGGCAAGAGCTAGGACGCCCGTACAAAGATGGCACGTGATATTAGGATGTGGTGCTGGGCAACAGAAAGGGACAGATTAATGCCTCAGGGAGATGGCTGAAGAAAGCAGGATTGGAGCCCTCCCTCGACTGATGGGTCGAACTCTGGCAGGATAACGCCGAAGCCAGGGCAGTGAGTTTTGTCACTTTGTGAGGAAATAATTTTCTTACAATCTCAGACTTTGTCAGATGGCACTGGTATTCTATAATCTTTGTGAAATGTATTCACATCTCATATTTACATCTAGCATACAGTATTATGAGGCAAACAAGTAGCTCTTCCACCGTTTAGTCACATGACCTTTTGTTTCTGAGCCTCTAAGTCTGCGTGTATAAAAAAAATCCGGTAACTTCTTACAAAAATTGCATCAAATAAAATACCTGCCTAAAGAGCTCAAAATAAATTGGACACTGGTGCTTGCCTATAATACCAGCTACTTGGGAGGCTAATATATTCTACATAGAACATGATGTAACAAACACAACATGATATGATAGAGTAACAGACTGTAATAAAAAAAATTGGCCTTAGTTGCCTTATCTGTAAAGTCAGGAATATTACTGAACCTGCCCTTGGGTTGCTGCGGAGACTTGTGCATGAACCCTAAGTGCTCCGCATAGAGTGCCCCTCCGCAGGAGCGGTGGTAGATGTTCTTACCCTTGGCGTGGACAGCCACAGCCAGAAATGATCTGTCTTGTTGGATGCAACTTATAATGTTCCTTTTCTTTTTCTTCCTTCCTTTCTTTAGCTCTGCATTAAGAGATTGGAAAAGCATATGCTTCTCCATAACAGTCACGGAGTGTGACCTCACCAATGAGATTGTCCAGGATGTGCGGCAGACATACTTGGCCAGGGTCATTTCCCTCATGCCAAACAACACCGGTTTTGTTGAGGACGCTCGCTATAGAAATTCCCCAGAATTTACACCCTACCTGGAGAGTAAGTAGCTCAGAGTAAGTGGTTAGTTTGTAATACGTTCATTTTTGTTTGCCTAAATGGCTCCTTATTCTTGTGTCTTGTGACCTCTAGGGGTCATTAGTCCAATGCATATATCCATAAAAACACCTTCTTTCTCTGAAACAACAGCCCTCTTCAGTCATTCTAGATGTGGGAGGAGTTTCACAAAATGTGAAGTTTAGAGTTGCTAGCAGTGTCATCAAATAACTTTCTCCCCTGATCTGCCCCCAATCCCTCCTAATAACTGGGGAAGTATGCATGGGGGATGGGAAATTAACGAAGGCTGGGTCCTCAGTTTTTCCGTATATTTATTCTTAAATTTTCTGACCCATATCAGACCGGAAATCTCAGCTTTGGACTTTCTACAAAATGGTCTCCAATCCGTAGGGAAGCCTAGTTTCTTGTGAGCCTGTAATTAGGCTTGCTGACCTTTTCCGTCAACTGAGCTTGATTCAAGTCCCATGATGTGCCAGAACCACCCAGTTCCCAGTTTCCTCCCTGAGTTGATTCTCAAAATGTGGAATGCTTCTCCTGCTCCGGGGCTTTGCCCACCCTTCCATGTCATGAGGGAATGCGGAGAATTCCTGCCAAGTAGGTGGTTCAGATTTCTTGGTCACAACTGTGCTTCCGAACTAGTATTTTAAGTGACCACACATAGCATATTAAGAGAGCGAGCTCCGTTTCTCATGTAAGTCCTGCTGGTTAGAATAAAAGTGTTAGGTAGAGGGACACCCATTCTTTTGTAGAATCTGCACTGCCTGAGCACCCTAGATGAATGGGGTTGCCTTCCCAGCTGCCCATTGATAAGACACTCCCATCAGTCTACTTGATGTGTTTACCTGTGTGTCACTCTGGCACTGGGCTAGAACGTAGCTGTATTGGTAGCACCTTCAGTATGGTCAGGGTCATCGATGATCCTTCCCCCAATGACATCTTTCCTCTTTCCATAATTTCCTCTTATAATTCCTGAGTTTTTTGTAATGCAAATTCAAGCTTTTTGCTGGTTCAGAATAGAGGATATTATATGTGCTTATTTTATGTCTATGCAGACCTCATTACGTATACTTTGCCCTGTGGCTGGCTTACACAGTATAGGAAATGATTGGGATTAGTTTTGCTAGAGAGATAAAATTGAGTCATTACAGGGATCTAGCTGCAAGGATTCTTTGATGTACTAAGGACATTTCCTAGGCTTTCCCACAGCCTTTAAGTTATTGTACCTAAGATGCAGAGTCTTGTGTAAATTCATTGTTCAGTTTGGTGACCATTAACCACATGTGACCATGAACTAATTGAAGCATAGCTAATATTGTAAATGTACAGCATATAGTAGATTTTGAAAAATATAAAATACCTTGGTTTTTATCTAATTATATGCTAAAATGGTAATATTCTAGGTATAATTGGATTAAAGTTTATGAAAGTTCTTTTTAGTTTTTAATATAATTATATGGAAGTC